TTATTATATTTTGGTATGGCATTAAAAGAGTGGGCACGAGGTCCAGCTGATGTGGCCTGTTAACACTGGTGCAAACATAAAGTGATTACCCGAGAAGAATCTAATAAGTTTAAGCCCTCAAGCAAAGTTGGAATTCCATTATCTTCATATTATTTCATCTCAAATAAGATTTACGGGAATGATTAATGTATTAAAAATGTAAAAAAAAATATTGCACGAAATTAATTACCTCAGTAGTTAAAGAAATAGTTATTATTAGTGATCTCAAATCTGAACACCAATGACCGTAGTAAAAGTGATTGAGCATTTATTGTCAAATAATTGGAAAAACATTTAAAACATATAATACTACTTTATAATCACCTTACTTTATATATATATATATATATATATATATATATAATTAAATTACAAAAATTTTAAAAAATATAAGTATTATTCACCTATTTCCTCATTTCAATAATCAATTCACCATTAAATACTTTTGTTCTCATGCAACTAAAAGTATTGAATTTCACTAGTTTCGAATTGGATGATGAGGTGTAAAGATGGTAAAATAATGTTTTTTATCTTTTGAGTAAAAAATATTCATTTTGTGAAAATTAAATCTTTGAACCTTTCTTCTTCCCTATATGGGGGGGGGGGAAGCATGGTTGTGTTCATTTTATTGTCTTATTATTTTAGGTGTAAGAGAAAAAGAATTTGAATTTAGATCCTTTGTAAGCAAAAACAAAGGTATGAAATTGATGATTGTTTCGCGCATCCATGCTCATTATACGTTCTTAAGCATATGTAATATGAAAAATTCTATCATACACATCGCATATCATAACATATAACTAAAGCGACATATTAAAACATACCACTAGTTATATTATCCTTATTAAGTAAATGTTAAAAAGATAAAATATAGTTTTGTACGCAAATTATCTTTTTTGATTAATTTTTGTATTTAAACTTTATTTTTTTAAAATCATTGATGATAATGTTTATGTGACATGATATGTCAATTTTTTTATTTACTACGTCACCTTTTTTTATTTGTTAATATTTTTAATTAATTTTATTCAAACAATAAGGTGATGACCACCTATGGAATAAAAAGATAAAATCATTCTTGCTCCTAATATGAATTTATCATGAGTACCTTACATAAGAAATAAATTGCTCAGTCATTAAACTAAACTAGTCATTTGGGTAAATTTGACCACATTTTGAATTTAACTTATATAACAATATCACCACAAAATCAATATTTTTCGATGATTATAAAATTTAAATTTGGAACACTTTAAATTAATTACCAAAAGCTTAGTCACTCAACTATAGTGTAATTTTTTTATTATACTAAACTTAATACTTACTTATATCATTATTAAATTATAATTTAATTTTTTATTTTATTTAGAAATGAAAATAATTAAATAATTAATATATTTGTATAAATATTATATGGAATAATTATAAAAAAGTATATATATTGTAAAAATATTTATTTTTTAAAAATTCAATTATTTATTTATTTGAAATAATATTATATTTAAATTATCTATTTAATTTTAAATAACTTAAATTTAGGGTAAATTATATGTTTACTACCTAATTATTACTTTGGTTCCGTAAAATATTATTTAAGATTAAATAGATAATTTATTTCAAATAAATATATAATATGATTTTAAAAAATAAATATTTTAAAATATTTTCATAATATTATAAATAAACCTTTTATAATAATTTAATATAAATTCTAGAAACACATAAAAGTAATTATTTAATTATTTTTTATTTATAAATAAAGTGAAAATTTATTCTTTAATTTAATAATTATACAAGTAAGTATTAAATTTGATATAATAAAAATATATTCACTTTATAGTTGAATGACTAAACTTTCTATCATTAATTTAAAGTGTCATATGTTTGAATTTTATAATCACCAGAAAATATTGACTTTGTGGTGATATTATTATATAATTTAAATACAAAATATGATAAAGTTAATATAAATGAGTAGCTTAATTTAATGGTTAAGTGATTTGCATTTCATGGAAGAGGCATAGGTTTAATTCATGCTTAGTGCAATAATATTTTCTTTTATTTTATCCTCATAATTGATTAAATTTGTCACCATTTAATTGGTTGAATAAAAATAATTAAAACTATTGATGAATAAATAGAAAAATAATGTGGAAATTAAAAAAAATTGACATGTCGTGCTACATCACATTATCGTTAATAGTTTTGGGGAAAAATAAAGATTATGTACTAAAGCGAAATAAAAAAGATAATGCAAATATTATTCGTATAATTTATCCTTTTAATATTTATTTAATTAGAACATTTTTATTAGTAGTACATTTCGATGCATCGCTTTAATAATATGTTATAGAATGAGAAGTACACTATAGACTCATCCTATTAACTATATTAAAGTAGTAATTATTACATGCTTTATGAATTTGAAAAGCTTTCAAAGAAATATAAGAAATATCATCTAAATAAAAGAAAAAGAATGTTGGAGTAAAATTAAAAATTTTATTTTAATTCCTTTAACTGTTTTAAATCTATATAAAATTTTAAAAAAAATAATATTACGTAATTGAATCATATCCCCGTAATCTTTTGTTTGCTTAGATAATGTTAGTATATTTAATTATGCCTTGAATATATTTTTTTATTAAATCAAGGTGAACGCTCACACCTTTAATATTTCTTGTGCTTGAACCCAATACCTCAAAGAATATCAATAATTTCTTTATCATCGAATTCGCTTGATTCATGCTGAGATTAAATTAAATTATTAGTCTTGATAATATCAAAACAATTGAAACATGTAATCTTTTTTAAATATAAAACAATCTCTTAAACGTTTTGAGTTCAAGCAATTGCGTCTGTAGAGTGTAGGTGCATTATCAATGATTCAGAAATATTTTAAACATATACTGCATTATAATCACTTCAAACTAAATAAAAAAACATAGATATAGTAAAAGTTAAAGAATTAAATTAATTAAAAAATAATAAAACCAAAAGTGGAATTTTATTAAGATTAAGAGATTAAAATTAAGGATAAACCTTAAACATAAATAACTGAAGCATTTATTATCGTTTAATTCCACATGTGAGAAGACATTTTATATGAGTACATAGTACTTAAATATATTAATGGTGTCTTATAGTTGTAATATTTTATTGAAAAGGTTTTCTTATCTATTAAATGGAAATAAGAAACAGAAAACCTCCCGACGAGTCCCATCAAGCCTCCACCTGAGGCATGGCCCAAATTCGTACAATCTGATGTGGCTGATGCTCAATTTTCTTTTCATTTTGTTCGCCACTTGGCCTCTTCTTTCTCTTCAAACACCATGGTTGATAAATTTATATTATATTCAATTTACTTTTATCTTTTTACAAATTAGATTCAGATATTAATTTTTTATCGTATACCATTATCCACTTCTTAATTTTTAATTAAACACAATAATTAAAAAAGGAACTATTCATATAAAATTACCTAAACAAAGCCTTCCATTAACCAATGAAATGAAAGGTGACGTGTAGTGGTAAAAACCTAAATTCACTAATCTTAATCAAATTAAATTTATTTGTTAATATAGGAAAAAAACCAGGCATGGCAGTAATAAGAAACTTACCTCTTAACTTTAAAAGTAATATCGTTAAAAATTATTATAAAACAAATAATCAGTTTATTTAATAGGACGATATATTATATTATTTAAATTAAATTAAGATTTAAATCATGAATAGAATAAATTGGATTGAAAGAGTTATCATCATCTCTATAATATTCAATCCAGATTAATTAATCAATAAACGAATATAGACGATTATAAAAGATAATTTAAACTTTTTACATTGAATATTAAAATAATTCCTTCGTTAATAAATTTCCTGTTTGTAAAAACTAAAACTGGTCTCTGTTTGTAAATGATCCGGTGTGTGGGTTTTTTATATTATAAAATGAAAAAAAACAATATTATGATAGTAAGAGATTCAGTCTGCAGGGTTTTATATTATTCCTTCAATATATATTTGGAGTGAAATGATTTGATGAGATACCCGAAGCAATGATTCCAGTTTCCACAGTAGCACATGTAGAAATGCCAAAACCATCACCGGAGGATTAGGAGCTTTGTGTCTGCATCAAGGACGACGACAGCTAGCACTGATGCATTATCTTCCAACAATGCTGAAATTTCTTTATTCTTTAATACGAATTTTAATCTTCATTGATTAGGGCAAAACTTATGCAAGGAGATCAGATCTTGCACACGTTGCATGTAACAACCCACGTAACCATGACAACGATGTAACGTCAAGAACAAAAGGTTAGCAATTCCTTTTTGACTATCATGTATGATTTATATATATTCAGCCCATATTACTTGAATTTACGATAATTATACACGCTTTACTCTTTTTCGTGAAACGGTTTAGAGTGACAAAAAATCGTTAGATACAAAGAACAGATATAAAAGATTTTCTTTAAAAAAAGTTGAAGGGATACTGAGGGATTAAGGGCATCTCCAATGCTTCTCCACATTTGGAGATTATCTCCACTGTGGAGAAAAAAATCCCTCCAGCCCATCGCCACATCTCTCGTTACAGTAGCAAAACGCTACAGTCCGCGTCACATCTGACACGGTACTGTAGCATACGCTACAATTTTTTTAATTCAAATAAATTAAATTACAAGATAAAAAAATAAATTAAAATTATATATATAAAAATACTAATTGTTTTGTAATTTTTTTGATTTTTTGATTTTTTTTTGTATTTTTTCTGATTTTTTCTGATTTTTTATTTTTTTAAATTCAAGTAGATTATTTTGCAAGATAGATAAAAATACATTGAAATTAGATAAATAAACATACTAATTTTTTGAAACATAAAAACTACAACAAACATAAAAACATAGAAAATATTAATAAAACTCGAACAACATTTTAACCAACAACTCAAACACAACAATTTAACTAATAATCAGACAAACCCCCTCCACTCCCTCCAAGATCATCAAAGTTCATTCCAAACACATTAAAAGTAGTAGATGTTGACTGTTCTTCTTCTTTTCGTTTCCGAATAATTTTTTGTTGTTCGTTTCGAAAATAGTGGTGTCGTTCGGGGTCAGAAATGGTATCTGGATCCATCGCTAGAATCTTGTCCTCTCTCCTCAATTGTGCAAATTCAGATCTTCTATTTATGGCCTCTATTCTTTCTTTTTCCAGTTGAAGAGCAATATCCCTTTGTGCATTTGATAAAGATAATGCTTCTCGAAGCTTTTTCGTTGATTCATTGAAGGAATTTGCAAGAACATAGTCTTCTTCGATTTGCTTCCTTTTTGCTTTGGATTTTTTTACACCCTCTGGTCGCTGGGAAGAAGAACCACCTGTACTAATATTTTCATCGTTGCTTAAATTGATTTTAAATGAAGACAATGAAGGGTTAACGGAATCTGAAATTTTTTCTGGAGGCAGTGAATAAACTGCACTCGTTTTTTCAAGTTGCAAAATATCTTTTACCAAATCGAACACATGATCAAACTTAAATGCAAAACCCCTTTCTTGCACGAAAAGTTCACTTACACGTTGTAGCTGCATTATAGAAAATAAAATTATTTATTGTTTCATGTAAAATAAAAAATTAATGAAAATAATATAAATTATTACTTACGATTATTTGTTGATTTGCACCACTTGGATGACTATGTTCAACTTGTTGTATACAACTGTCGAATTTTCGGCTGTCTTTGAGAATGGTAGACATGCGACATTGTATCGATCTAGAATTACGATCGACAATGTTAGAAGGTTTTGATGCGCCATTGTGTTTTGCTTCAACACGCTGCCAAAAATGATCTTTCGATTGGTTGTTGCCGACGATCAGATCTTGTGTAACTTCAATATGGACACTGCAGAGATATCGATCTTCACCCGATTTGAAATTAGTGCGTGACTTTGTCGACATTTTAGAAATGAGAAATATAAGAATTGTGATTTATTTGTATTTTCGCATTGCTATTTATGAATGTTTTATTTATGTTTTTTATCTTGATATTTATTGGAAATATATATGGTTTATTTTATATTTTTAAAATCAATATTATAATAATTAAATATTATGAATAAAGTAGATTTAATAGTAATATATAGATAATGCTGAAGATAAATTACTGTTTCATCTCTACCGTAGAGATTAAGATGCGCTAGAGTAGAGTTGAGCATGGCCTAATAAGAAGAAAAGAAAAAAGGATTGGAGTTTGAAATGACAAGTGAGGAGGGATTTGCGCATGAAAATGAAATGTGGAAAGTAGTAGCTAAGTTATAGGCTTAGTTATAAATGGTTGGCGACGTAGTGATTGGATGGGATGGATAGAGATAGAAGGTAGGCGGTTAGCCATAAATTGATGATTGGCTTTTTGAGAGTCAATAACGTGCCACGCCTTTCATATTTTGGCCACTGCATCCTTTCACGCCTTGGTTTTTTTTATTTCAACTTTGCCATTTCTATCTTACTATCCGCCCTAGAAAATCAAGGAGGAAGAAGGTCTAACTTAGTCTGAAACTAACGGAAAACCAGTTACAAGGTTTATACATGGGTATGTGTGAGGTGAAAGAGTTTTGGGTTTTAATGATATTCGAAGCTTTCTATTTAAAGTTGCAAATAGCTTCGAAACAAGTGTGTTGAATTCATTTGTTTAATCCAAAAGCTTAATATACGTGTTGCATGCATAACACTTACATCACGTGTGCCTTTATTATTTACGATTTTATCAAATTTAATTAAAAATCTTGTGTCACTGTGGGTAGTATTATGTACACTTGTATTCAATTTAGAAAAAGGATGGTAAAACCTGAATTGACAAATAATAAAAGAACAAGTAAAATTGGGTTTGATGAGAAAGTTGTGGTTCCAGTGTTGCTGAGCTGGAGTTGGAGGGGAAATAAATAAAAGGAGGGCGGCGGCGGCGGCGGTGGTGGGGGAGGGGGTTTCACGTGGGAAGCACGGTGGCTCCAATGGCCTAAACTGAGGAATGGGCGTGGAAACCGTACGGACGGGGCACCAGTCCACGTGACAAATGAATGAGGCTGGTTTTGAAAGGACAGTGTTCCGCCGACAGCCTCTGTCTTTCAGAGCGAGGTTGGCGCAGCCACCTCCCTCTCCCTGGGTCCAATCATACACACGAATATCTAATATAAAAATTGATTCATTCATTTCCAGCATCGACACAATTCACTTTCTAAAATATTCTTTATATAAACTAAATTGAGATTAAAGCCTCTTTCTATATCGGATTTCATAAAAATAAAACTCGTTCCAGCTGCATATATATAATTTTTGCAATTTACTTGGTAAAGAATGTGGTTCCACGGATCATCTGAAATTCCATCTCTTGTTCTTAATTGAAGGTGTTGATCTCTGATATGCGAGAAACAACGTACTGTCATCTCTCTTTTTTTTTTTAACGTTTTAAAAAATCAAACGGCGTTGATCTACGAGGTGTGGCTGTGGGAAATGACGGATGTATAAGTTAAAGGCTCCACCCTCTTGATTTCTGAAATTATTTTTTATTTTTTATTTTCAAAAATAAAAAAATATATTTAATAATTTGAATGAGTTTTATTTACATCGGTATATAATAATTCTCTGAGAAATAAGTAGCCAACACGTTCGTTTCATTTATTTAATTATTGACCAACAACATATATAACTGTATATCGCTAACATGCTTACGTTATAATAATATCCAAAATCTGTCACGTCATTTAAAATCGGTAGTTTGATTTTTTCTCGAATGATTAAAGTGTTTTTTGGCTACTATGATTTAACTATTTGTCCTTTTATGTAACATAGGACCACGGGTTGCTGTATCTACTTTCAGTTTTGTGGTTAAAAAATGCAAATTATTTTTGTTCATTTTTTAATTTTTATCATCTAAATTTTAAAAAAAATATTATAATTATTTATATTATAATTTATTTTATAACATTTTTAAAATATAAATTTTATAATATTATTAATTTGACACATTAATAAAAAATATTTTTGATTTAATTTTTTAACTTTAATCAAAATTTAAATTTAATAATTTTATATTTTTTAAGATTTAATATAAAAAATTAGTCCTTAAACTATATTTTTAAAACTTGCATTACATTTACAAAATTTTTAATTCTTTTTATTACTATCATTGAAGTTAGTTATTATTTAAAAATATTGACATATCACTTTAAAATAACATAAGTAATTAACCTTAATTTGTTTTATCCCGCGACATAAGTTCACCTTTTAAGGTTTAGCTTTGGAAGGCGAATCAAAACATATGAGTCATCCGATTTTGGAAATATAAAAATGGCTCTAAATTATACCTGAAACCACGTTGATAAGAAAGATTAAATTATCGGTAATGGAAAAAAAATATTCTTGTCTCAGATTCACTATGACATGATAAGTATTAAGCATTGTCTGTCGGCATGCAATCCCAGTTGAAGGAGGGTGGTGAATTCTAAGGACGTAAAAGGTAGAGAGAGTAGCTCCTTCGGTTAGCCAAACGCTGGTGGAAGCTGGGCTAACCCTACATCCATATGCTCTAGTATTAAGGCTAAGAACTAAAAGTAAAAATAAAAATCGGGGCTTGAATTCATTGGCACCTTCATGTAGAAAACTTAGACTCCGGCACGGTTACTGGAGGATACCGAACGGCAGCTGTGAACTATGAAAGTAGAACCAGTAATTATTTTAGTGAAGAATGCAAATATGGAGAAAATGTAATATTTCACTCAATGAATAGAAAGAATCACAAAGGCTACCTAACAACACTAACAAAGTAACTGAAGTACAATTACCTAACAAAATAACAAATGGTAACCAATTCTGTTAACACTTTTAACACTTCATAGAGGGGAGTTGTTTGGGCCTATTAATCCATAAAACCCCAGACGATGAAGAGAGATTATACCTTCAAGTTGGGTTTCACAGCAGTTGATCCAACATTCAATCTAACTTTTTTATTTAATAAAATTAAGTATTATTATTAATTCAAAAAATACTATTATAATAATATTTTAATCTTTTCATTTTCATATAATATTTAAATAAGCTAAATATAAATTTGTGAATTCATATACAGAATTTTGATATTTTATACGTTATAATTTTTAGATTATTATGTAATTCTAAAATGGTAAGATGCATGGATTTGAAGAAATATTTTAAATAATGTACTAGTGTGCGTTGGGTAATTATCTATCATTTCTAACAATATTTTCCATATATTTAGATTAAGACTTTTAGCAATGTGTAAAGTCAATGGTATCTCTGCCTTCGATGTATTACTTGTGGTTCATGCTTTATGAGCCCTCGAGATAATCTTAAGCTAGGGTTTTTATGATTAGCATTCCGTAAGTCATCAAACTTAAGTAAAGTATGATGTTTTTCATTTTATAGGGTTGGCAATAATCAACTGCCTACGTTATCTTGATCATAGTCTTTAAAGATTTTACGAAGTTTCAGAACTATCACGCTCTTGTATATTCAATTTCAGCTCTTAAAAGATGCAAACAAATTCTATGAAGCTACTTTCCTCTTCACGTCCGTCAAATTCCAAAAATCTGTCTGGGCATGTGAAAGGGTGAAGAAGGAGCTTTATCATATTGTTTCTGTATGCATCAGTAATGAACTATGAGGTTTGAGGAGCAAAGAAAAAAAATTCCAGTTTATGCATTTAAGAAATGATATTTTACCATTTGACTTCAGAACAAGTATCAAACTATTGGCATTATCTTTAATGATGAGAGAATGGAAGTTTAGTTTAGTTTATTATTTTTTTGTAATGAAAAAGGTGTTGGGGAAAACGAGTTATTTTCCACACGAACGTAGTTTTAAAATTGACCTAAAATGTCAAGATTAAAACCACCAAAGGTTGCACAGCGGCTAAACCTGTCAAACTATTGAATATTGAAACACAATGGAAAATAACCGAATAAGAACATAAAGGAGACACACACCAAATTACGAGGTTCGACGAGAATATCATCTACTCCTCGGGCACCACACCGGATAACTTCACTATATCGCCAATATTACAACAAATGGAATTCTTTAGAATTCCCAAAGTGGGGAGAATGAAGAATACAAGAGTAGAAGAACTTGTTTTTTTGGGATGATTTCTAATGGAAATACTTAGGCCTATTTATAGTGAGTTTTAAGAACAATATGTTCAAAGTTTGGCCACTTACCAAAGAATTTTCCAATGTACAAGTTAGCCACAAAAGAAATTCACATGTTCAAAGTTTGGCCACCAACCAAGATGAAATTTCCAACTTGTCAACTTAATTTCTAGACAAATCTAACAAATCTCCACCTTGGCTTGAAATTACCAAGCATACTCAACTTCTTCAACTCCCCAAATTTGTAGTGCCTCTAATTGCGCTCACAAACGCCACACCCCCGAAGGTGTTCATACTTTCAGGATGTTAATCAAGTTCAAACAATGATTGAACTTGATTACTGTTACCACCTTGGTCATCATATCTGCAGGATTTTCTGATGTCGCAATTTTCTGAAGTAGAATCTTTCCTTCTTCAAATATCTCCCACACAAAGTGATATCTCACGTAGATATGCTTAGTCCTTGAATGGTAGATTTTGATTTTTCGCTAAGTGAACAGTGCTCTGACTGTCACAATAGAGACTAATGTGACTTTGAACAACTCCCAAGTCTTCCATCAACCCGTTAAGCCAAATTGCTTCCTTTACATCATCTGAAACTGCCATGTA